GCCTGTGCGGAGATTTGCCTGGACTTGTCTCAACACACATCATCTCTGGACTAAAAATTACAGACTGCAGATTTGTCGTTTGGATGCCTAATTCTTAGGATGGCCAAAACCAATACCTTTATTGGTAAAAAGAAATTTAGGATACTGCAGCACTTCTGAATGTTGACAGAAGAGTCAACCACTAGTAGTGTTCAGGCAGAGAGCAGCATCAGTACTTTGACTCTTAATGTTCAATGAATAAAAACACTTTCCTTAACTGAACTTGGAAAAAAGGTTGATGCAGCAGTCTTATTTATCTAGCTACATATTCTGGAGTTGCTTCAAGAGGTTTAGTCTTTTTTAGTCTTAGAATTTAGTCATGTTATTCCAGCTTAAATATTTCACATGTAACCTATTTATATCAACTTAAGGTAAAAATCTGATCCATATTTAGAAAGAAAAAGCTGATCTCCAGCCAGTTGTAGGAAAGTTTTCTGTTACCCATGCACACGATTGTACCCTTCTGTTTTTAACCATTATTCCTAAACTGAAGCTGCTCTTAACTGGAAAAAATGCTTCTTTTAATCACAAAAAGCCCCAGGAAAGAGTAGCACACTGTCTAAGTTGGGACTAGTCTACTGTAACAGCCAGTAGACAAGAAGATGGGTTTTAAGATGAAACTTCCAAATGACTATCCTAAAAGTTGGCCCAATTCACACATTAACTTTTTCTTATATGGACAAGTTAATTGCTTATTAACTAGGGAGGATAAAACACAAAGTGCAAGCAGCTTTTTAATGGACTAGTCAATGCATATGTGTTCTCATTATATTACACATCCGATTGTACCACTGACGACGGAACAGAAGTAACTAGAAAATGACATCCAGGACACTGAGTTGGATCCACAGTTTCTGTCAATGGGGCTTCACACACAGGATAGTCCCACTGGAGGAAGGGCGGTTCCGCCTCAGCCCTGGAGCTCCTTTGTCTCTAAAAAACTACTCCAAACAGTTGAGGAATCCTCCAGAACAATTCTGGTGCATACAGAAGAAAACGGGCAAAAACTGCCTTTCTCCAGTGGGAGCCATTGATGGATCTCAGTCCCTTTTGTGGATGGAAGGACACTTTTTGTTCACAAAAGGTCACCTTGTATCTAACACCATCTGTGAATACATGATGGCAAGCAGTGGGAAATGGGTTGGGGGGGAACCCTCTGCCAAAATTAATTAAATTTATTAAATCCATCTCTTTAACTGAACACCTCAGACTATTTTAGATAGATCTCCTGCATGAACAGTGAGCTAAAGTAAAATAAAACGCTTTTGCATTTGCCCGTAGCAGAGTAACTTCCAGAAGAACTGTTCTGTTCTAAATGCACCTTATTTAGCTTAGTGCATTTTATTAAAACCAGTTTGCACAGATCTGGGGATCTGTCACTGTAAAATCACCGTCTGCGGTGCAAACATCTGCCCATGAAGGATCGCATGGGCAGGTTCTGACATGGTTTGGGATGTGAGGTAATAGCAACCTTCTATACACAGTGCTGCCTCTTGTAGCCTCAGTTGAAATAATGGTGATCTATTTTGGATTCAGGTACTTTCCTAAACACCTTGCAAAATTCAGGGGAGAAAGGAATAAAAGCATAACTCCTTACTATCCTTCCTCCTTACAAGCACAAAACTCTGGAGTTTTGCTCTTCTTTTCAGTTGGCTTTCAATACTCTAAAATTGCGGGGTGGGAAGACAGTCAAGAATCTAAACAAACTAAGGGGCAATGACTGCACTGGAAAGACTTCTGATTTGCCTTTAATTTGATTCCATTTGGGCTTGAATGCAGATACAAATTGTTGGCTTGTGTGATGTTTAAACAAAAGTTTATTGCACACAACTGCATGGACAGGCTACATTCTGAAGGAAAGAAAAAATAGCTTTCCATACTGTCTAGGAGATTTTGTGTTTAGAACCCTTTAAAGCATTTGTGGATGAGTTTAATACTTTAGAAAATGGATGCAATATGGTTCCACTCAGGTTACTCTAGTTAAGCCCCAACTCAAGTATTCTCAGTTTTGAAAGCATTGGGATCAGCTAGAGGCAGCTTGCAGCAATGCCCTGGAAAAAAACAAGACCACCAAGCCAAAGTTGAAACAACTGATCAAGGTTTAAATTTAGGAATCTAATAAGAGCAGATACCAGGCTGCTATAGTAAAGACAGAAAACATATCTGGAAGCAGTGTTTTCAGAAATGGGGAGAAAGAATGCCTGTGCATGGTACGCACACACAACTGGTAAATTGGATTTGTATGTTTTGTTTCATTTACCAAAAAATATTATCCAGAAGCAGCAGCGGCACACAAGAAATGTGCATGCATCATGGAAGGCCATACTAAAACCACTCTGGCTGATAATGCATATAATGCATCAACCTGTAGCTGAAGTTAAACAGACCTGGGTCTCATCAGTATCTGGAGACCAACTGGAAACCCTATATATGCCACCATGGATTCTATGGAAGAAAGGCAGGATATAAATGAAATAAATATTTTAATATTGCTGGATTCCCTTTGCAAGACTATGCGTTGGTCCATCTGGGATAGGGTCTCCATCTTTACACCTTTCCTGTCCTGATTGCAAAATCTTCAACCAAACATTTACTTTTGTGTCAGTTGTGGCATCAGCATTGACTAGTGCAGGGACAGGCAACTTGCGTCCCTCCAGATTTTTTGATCCACAATTCCTACCAAACTTAGGCAGTCCAAGCCAGCAGAGAGGATCGAAGGGATTCCAGGCTAAAACATCTGAAGGCACACAATTTACCCATTCTTCATCTAGTAGAACAATGGGTATTAGTTTTCTTACCTTTTCAGAATATGTAGTGTTTCTGAGTACAAGAAAAAACAAAAATACTCAAAAGTATTCCCCCCCGTCAAATGATTCCAAAATAAAAATGCTGCTTATCCAGAGCATGAACTTTGTTAACTTGTTGAAGCTAATGGATGAGATATTTGAATGGGAGAATCTTAGAAAAAGAAGCCACTATAAACGGACTGGAGAGTTCATTCTAGCAAGACTTTATATGATTGGTGTAACAGATACCTTACACAAATACCTGCATTCTTTTTTCTCTGTAAGATGAATGGACTTAAATGCTTTCTAGAAGCCCCAAAGTTAGCAAATGACCTTATTTAAAAATTAAGACAATTAGAGAACGAATCCTAGCAGTGGGAGCCAGTGTGCTGTAGTGGTTAGAGTGCTGGACTGGGACTTTGGAGACCCAGGTTCTAATTTGTGCTTGTCCAGTAAACTCACTGGATGACCTTGAGCCAGCCACTGACTCTGAACCTAACCTACCTCACGTGATTGTTGTGAGGATAAAATGGAGAGGTGATAGACCATGTAAGCTGCTTTGGGTTCCTTGTAAGAAGGAAAAAGGCCAGATATACATACAATAATACAATAAACAAGCCTAGATGCAAAGGTGATTGTATCTGGCGAATTCTAATTGGGCAGAATAAACAACTGAGAGCTCATTTTTCTGATGAATTGCCTGCCTTATATGGACTTGAAGGATCCTGCAGTACATCTTGCAACAGCCAGGATCTTGTCTAAAGCCCTTTGCCAAGATTTCACCTCCTCAGGAATTATCTGAAAATGGCTGGAAGGCAACGTAATAGGGAGGGAGATTCTGAAAGAGAACGAACTGTGGAGGCAGCCTGTGAGTATTTAATTCCCCTGGCTTTTAAGTAGACATCAAAAACTGACACGTCATGCATGCCTTTGGAATTCAGTGCATGGAACCACTCACTTTACCCCAAGAAAATGGATGAGAAGTCAAACAAGGCCACTGTGGAAATGATAAGTGAAGTAACACCATGCTCTTTCATTCACGGAATTGATTCTGCTTCGAGCAGTTTCTCAAAAATCAGTCACAGGGTCTGAAGGGATTGTGGCAGAGGGCTGTGCTAGGTATGAGATTTGAACATTCGGGCTATAAGAAAAACCTCAAGTACTGCAGCTTTGGAGCTCTTTCATTTAGGAAAAGGGCCAAGGGAGGGCAGGAGAAGCCTTTATAAAACTTAACATGGTTTCTTCCAATCTAGCCCTTGTGCTGGATGGCAAAGCCCATGTGTTTGATGTACAAAGACCACAACAAAGAACCACAAGTATCCAACCTTGCAGTTCCAGTCTGTAAGTGGGAAGACACTAGATGTTGGAAATGAATGTAGAGACCATCTCTGATTAACCAATATAATAAATACCCTTTACCGGTTTATCCTTGTTTCTGGGGCACTGGGCTTGACTAGCATGGGTGGATGATTCCAAAGTAGTTTAATATAAATAATAAGGGAAGGGAATCAACCACGTATTTTATTTTGGTAGGACCGGTATGAGTGAATGCATAGGGTTGGGCAGAAAGTAGATATCCATGTACTTTGGACTTCAGTTCCCAGCATTCCTTACCATGCTAGGAGGTACTTCTAGAGCTGAAGTTCAAAACATATACTTTCTGCCTACCCTTGCAATAGAGCACAGAACAAGAATGAGAGAAGTATCCATTTAATTTATTTAATTCATGTACACCCAACCTTTTGGTTCAGAAGCACCCAAGCCAGTTCATTACAAGTGACTTTAGAATGCCACAAATTCTGATAGTTACACCATATTAATAGCTCTGATAACACTGAGAGTTTTTTTAGTCAATTCAGAAGCAAAGTTTTGGCAGCCCAAGCATGGAAGATCTTTAGCTAACCCGCCACTATGTGGACCCAGTGCTCAGTTCCATACAGTTGATTCACTGTTTGGTTTAGGGATTGAATTACAAGATTTTCATGGAAAGAATGTGGAAGGAAGGATGGAAGGAAAGAAAAAACAGTGCACACGCACTTTTTTCAGTCCCACAAATCAAAATCAGATTGCGACAATCTGGAATTTGGCATAAACAGGATCAGAGCAGCATAAGTTGAAGGAGGGCTGGAGAGTCTTTTTAATGAAGGGTTTTCCAACTCAGGTCAGTTTACTCACCTTCCACCAAAACACTGCAAGTACATTCTGCTTTTCCTGCAGTATTCTCAGCTATGCATTTGTACCTGCCTTCATCTTCAGGAAAGGTCTTGTCAATGACTAAGGAACATCGTGATCCTTAAGGGGAAGAAAGAGAGGCTAGAGGTTAGAGGGGCCAACAGCCTTACTAAATACAGAAGTACAGTGCTGTTAAAATCACAATTGGTCTTAAAGTGGAAAAACTGAAAAATGAGCAAGGAATCTCTTTTCAGATTCTTCCACTGCCTTGGTTCCCTCATAAGAACAACCTTCTCACATTTAATCCTCTTCTGGATCACTTGTGAAGTAAGCCGCATGGGCACAACAAGTGACCAAACTCCAGTCCCTCTTATGTGGAACTGGCTGCAGCAATGGTCCTGGAGTAGCAGAGGGGCACAACTCTGAAGGTGGATCCCCTATTAGAGCAGAGCAAGGCAAACCTAACGTGGCCTTTGAGTTCCTGCACAAAGGTGCTTTTAAATGCTCCCTGTGAAACTGAGGTACCGATGTCACTGGTTGACTTGAAAAGCAGACCTGGAAGCACAGAGAAGGTTGCTGAGGTTCATTGCACATCAGGGACAGGATGGCATGGGAACACACATTGCCAACACTGTTCCTGAAGTCGCAAGCATTGCTGGAATGGTCGGACACGACTTCGCGACTAACAACAACAAAATCTAGAAAAAATGGGACATTGGAATAGGATTTTCACTTGACCCAAATATCGTGAGTAAAGCAGTAAGAAACAGATTGTATATGAATTGTTTCTCAATACTGCTTACCACTGTCCATCACAGTTTGTTGTTTTTTGTGCCTCTGATGTTCTCCCCCATCCCTCAGAGTCCACCCAAGCCCACACCGACTGCCCCAGTGGCCCCATCCAGCCACCTCAACCTCTGCCATCCCCTTCTCCTTTTGTTTTCGGTATACAACAGTACACTTGCAAAAAAGGGTAATATTTATGGCTTGGTATGTTATCTCAAGACATGTTTGGAGTCACAGCCATTAATCATGCACAAATATTTCTCTTAAACTCTTTAAAGTAAATGTCCAAACAAAAAACAATGCAGGCTAAATTTACTAAAGATGCAAGTCTTTCCAAAGAAGCTCTTGCATTCTGTGACCTACGCATTTGCTTCATTCCCTGGGCTGGGAGGCCAAATGTCTCTCAATGAAGTATTTGGTATTTCCTCTGCAAAAGCCTTTGCTGACCTCCAGAGATGAGATTCTTTTCTCATAGTTCTGAGAAAGCTCTGTCTGGTGACTCCAGGCAGGAATTTTGAATTTCTTGGCACCTTTCAGGATGAAATCCCAGGAGGGAGAATAACAAGATCACTGTGAATGTATGCCTGCCTCCTCCTCCAGATCTGTTTAGATAGCTGTCTGCTAAATAACAGTACATTAAGAAGTCTACATATATATGTAAAGAAAGTACTGTAGTGAATCAAGTCAGATACATGTACATTAGACACAAAAGTATAGCCAAAATGTATAGCCAAGCTAGAAATACAGTGGACAATATGTAGCGATCTGTGAGAAGGACTGAATCTTTAGGGAGCTTAGAGAGAGTTAAGATTTAAACACATTAAGATACTGCCCCTTAAGTTTTGGGCTTATATGAAGATGTTTGGTTTAACTAAAATAACGCAAACTTGGCAAACAATTTTTAGTTCTTGCCAGGCTGACAGTCCGTGAACTTCAAAACAAATATGCAAAGCATCAAAACAGGATAGTTCTTGTGTTTTGCTTTCCTATCTCTGTCAGCAAAACATGTTTCCTTCTGTCCCAGCTGCAATCACTTAGATTGTGTACCTTGTGTAATTTTAATAGGCAACAAATGCCTAAAAGGATGCTGAAATCTGATTAAGCCTGAAGCCCAGAAGTAAACAGTGTTGAGGATTCCAGCTAAGCTATTTTTACATTCATACAACCACATTAGTACTGAAGTGTGCACACAGAAAAAATTAGTATGCACAGACTTTTACACAAAACATCTGATACAGATATGTAATTTTTAAATCACAAAGAAATACATTTCAGACCGTAGTAAGTTTCTAAAATAGAGGTATCATTAAAAAATAAAAGTATGGAGTAGCACGTAGGGTTGCCAGGTCCCAACAGTGATAAAATGTCTCATCCAAAATGTTTGCTAACCAGTGACATCATCATCATCATCATCATCATCATCATCATCATTATTAAAACATTTCTATGCCGCCCCTTGCCGAAGCCTCGGGGCAGCTCACAACATGGAGCTGCCATATTGCTTTTTATTTCTGGGCTGGTCCTTCCGTCCAGCCTGAAGAGGGGTAAATAGAGAGTCCTGCCAGCTACTAGTGACCAGGGAGGAGAGGAGATGAAAGGACAGGAGAGGAACTAGTAGGGGCAGCTGTGGCTACCATCTCCCATCTGTGCGTTTAGAAGCGGTTAACGGCATGTCCTCCAGATCTTTCTCCAGCAAACTTAGTAGTAGATGCAGCTAATCCTTTTTGCATGTACTTATTTCTACTGTAACATGGAAAGCAGCTCTAGATATGCTTTCTCAACAAGAATTGTTCCCAAACCTATCCTTCCAGTTAGGTTTTGGGTGGGACTCTGAAGAAATGGGATGCTGATTTTTAAGTACTTAAGATGAATGAAGAAACTTTGATTGTGTAAAGCATCAAAGAAATAATAATTTCAAAACTGTGATTCCAGCTGAGCTAGAACCATGACTACTTCATCTTTCACTAAGAAAACATCTGGCAATATAAACAGAATTCTAAGAGTTGTTTGCAATTACGTTCAACATTCAAATGTATCAAAAATACTCACATGAATTTCCAAGTGTTATGGCACAGAGTTTACACATCATTTTAAGGATATTCACAAACCGTCTCTTGATATAGTTTGATGCAGATTCATACAGGTTGTACATATTGAAGCAAACAGACTTTCAGAAACAACGTATCCATATAGCCAGTGTTAGAACTGTAAAAACTATACTGGAGTCTTCTTTCATATTTTCTGAGATTCTGTGATTCAGCAAAAATATTGGAAGGCAATACTGGAGTGTATCCAAATAATTCATGGATACCTGCCTATCTTTAACTTTACTAAATGGTTTGAAGAACTGAACATACAATTCTAATTGCTAATATATTTATTTCAGCTAGATTCTTTCTTGCAAAATATTGGTCCTGAGGACAATTACCTTCAGTAGAAAAGTGACTGAGGAAGAAATGACATATCATACTGATCCATAAGATAACACAACATAAAACACTTTAGGTTGGGGAGGATGAATCTACCCTCATATGTTTAAAATAAATCCGGGGACCATTCTTAATGGATGGAATTAGGATATATTAGAAAAATGAATGTGCACCTGGCTTTAAAGCTAATTTTGGTTTGTTTAGGTGACTGTCACAGTTTGCAGCTGAAATTTGGTAGCAACCACCCACTGTTTTGTTGCAACCACAATCACCAGCACCACCACCACCAGTGCTGCAGCAGCAACAAACTGAAGGTGGAGCAGATCATACATAAGGTCAGGGAGCTACAAATGTGTTTCCCAGCCCTGGCTTATACTCTATAGGTTACAGATTCCATGAGGTATCGATGCTATACTGGCTGGCCATAACTTCCCAGGCTCTCTTGGCAGGGGTCTTCCCTGCCTTAATTGCTTCCTTCTGCATGCAAACCATGTGCCCTTAGAATATAGCATTTACAGTCCTTTCTAAGTTACAAAAAGGTTAGATGCTTCTTTGTTCACTTGTAGAAAGCACCCTTCTAGCGCATTATTCATTGTTAAAACTAGCACTGTTCCTCAATAAAAAAAAGTCTTAGTCAGGGACCAAATCAATTTATTGTGCAATGAACAATTCCAGTAGTTATAAAAACAGAAGACCTTTATGGACTGGATCCAAACTAAATCCAATGAAATTGATGTAACTTTAGTCAATCACAAAATCTGTGAACTTAAGTCTCATTGATTTCAAAGGGTCTGGCCTAATGATGGCTAAAACTTCAAAGCTCTTTGATAATGCACGCTGCAAGCATCACGTTGGAAGCGATATTCTGCTTTCTTTTCTAACATGATGCTTGCAGCATGCAGGATGCAGGATGGATGCCGCTTTAAAGATGGCACTTACCATCTGTAGTACTTATAAACCCTGCTTGTGTTAAACTAGGTGTTCTCTGAAGAAATTGCTGGCTTTTTAATTTTTCAAAATAAGCTCACCTAAACTTGTTGTCCTATGCATATTTAGACAGGAAAAAGTCCTGCAATTTCCAGCTTTTCTCATTCAGCATGACTGGTCAGAGATCTAAATATGTGTAAGATTGCACCATAAAAGATCAATTGCCACCCTGCATACAAAACCAATACACAATTCAGGGACCCGATGCCTGACTCCAATTAGTCTTTCTCTGCTAAGCACATTAGGCACAGAGAATATGCTGACAATTAAAAACTTGTAGAAATTAAGTCCATTAACACGAATAAGGCCCAAACTGCACTGTCATCTTCCTCCTACTGGTAACAGCTTTTTTTTTAAATGGAGAATGACATTAAGTTCAAGGCTTACTAAATTTGCCTATATATGGAGTAGTGTACAGATAATGTGAATTAAATAAGTATTGATCTGAGGCTAACATCAAAGCAATGCATGTTTTTGTTTCACCTTTTCTCATCCCAGGAAGATGCCAGCAGGCAGATGTGGTGGTTCATAGCTCAGTGGTAGAGCACATGAAAAAGTCCCAGATCCAGTCTCCAATGTCTTCAAGCTAGAGCTAGGAAAGAAGCCTTCTGAAACCCTGCAGAGCCACTGCCATTCAGTGTTGCTAACAGTGATAAAGCTGAATGGATTAATGGTGTTCATAATAATGTAAGAGATTAATTCTGCTGCTGTTTTTGGACCATGATGTACTACAATGCTTTAGGATATGATTGCAAAGGCATGTCCCATTCTGGTGTTACGAATTTCCAACCATCGAGGAGCCACACATGCTAGCCTGAGCTCTTCCCAGGTTTTAGTAGGAAGTCTGGAGAGAGGCTAAAGCCATGTTCGGCTCAATGTGATGACGGTGCTCCATACAATCAGGAAGCCTGATCACAC